AGCATCAGCTAGGGGCTACTTTATAGTATATTCACTCTACTCAGAGTTTCATGCCTAAAGTCAGACATGTATTCACAAGTATGTATATATCAGCTGAACTTGCAATTGAAAGTAGTTAGATTATTTAAGAAATTTTGTAAATCAATAAAATGTGGGGGAAGAAATGAATGAAAAGCAACTGTAGATATCAGAGATGTGTGGGAGGAGGGTGGGAAATGGCAGATGGTGAAGGAAAGGGGGAAAAAATATATATAAAACTAGAAATGGAAAATTATCGACAGTAATCGACAGTAACATGTATGATTAAGCCACTATGCAGTATATTCTGGATAGGAAATCACATTTCATATGCTTTGATGATGCTCAGTGAATGAATGTAAATTGATTAATTAATTAAAAATAAAAAATTTTAAAAAGAAATTTTAAAAAGAAATAAAAAGAAACAAGAACTAGAAATTATTTGTTGATGATACCATGTATGATAATATCTTTGACTGAGCCAATATATAATGTATACTGGGTGGAAAATCTCATTTTGTATACTGTATTGATGTAAAGTGAATGACTGTTAATAAATAAATATATAAATAAATAAACTTTAAAAAAAGGCTATACTCTGCTTTTTTCTTTCAAACAACATTCCTTTTTTTTAGAGAGAGAGAGATTTTTGCTATAGGGTGCATGCACCATTCTCCTCCTGAGATTTTGGGCGTGTATGCACATGCACCCAGTGTGAGTTTCAAACCACTGGGTCCAGGACATGAACTGCAGCCAGCCATGTGGAGTCCAGTGCCTGAACCACTTCACCACCCAACATTCTAATGTAAGGATATTCTCAAGTGGAAGAAATGATTTATAAACATTTTTAATGACTATTAAAAAAATCATCATATAAAAACAAGAAAGTTGTTTTCTTCTTAAAAATAGTCATCTGCTGTGATGAGACACACCCTGCTCAGCTTCTGCAGAAGTCAGTGAGAGAAGAGCTCACAGCTACAGGGCTCAGGCCAGCCCCTCATGGAAATGTCCTCATTGCCACTTCTTGGTCCCTGTGGTCAAGGTTCAAGTGGCAAAAGCCCCACTGACCAAACCCTGGAGACTGTCAGTATGTCCTGTTCCCAACAGTGTCCAAGCTCCAGAGACGTCTCTCTCGGGCCTCCTCTGTCCTCTCCTTTGTCTTGTTCATTCTACTCTGACTGTCCTGCTAGAGCTGAACCAATGCAAATCCTCAGGTGTCCCCTGGTGAGGACCACGTCCTTGTCTTCCATTTGCAAGGAACAGGCCATGACGACAAGGCTTTCTTCCAGAGGTTGCTCTCCTTTCATTTCTCCTAACCTACCTTTGGGCTCTCAGCTTCGTTTGAAAGTCGTAGAACTCCATCAGCTTCTCTCTGCCAACATTTCAGTCTTCAGGGCTGGAGGTGCAGGGCCTACGGAATTCCTGTCCATACTCGTGTATCCACTTGTTGGCCACTGGGAGAGACAGGGAGGAGGAAGAGAATAGGTGTGGCTGAATGGTGGACTGGGCTTGCGCAAAGGGCACACGGGGACTTCCTAATACCCCATAGCTGTGCTGTGGACTGGGCTTGCTCACAGGGTACACGGGGACTTCCTAACACCCTGCAGCCTGGGCAACTCACATGCCTTCCCCAGTGCTGGTCCAGCTATGGACTGTAAGCTCTTTCTTCTAGCAGAAATAATGAAAGAGGATATTGTTTTTTAGAAAAGGTCAACAGGTCCTGTCTACTGTAAACTCACTTTCAAACACATGAGAACTAAGGTCACTCACTCTTTCAGTCCTAAAAGCCCACCTCCCCCATGGAGCCATCTAGAACAATGGAAAAATGGGTGACATCCTCTGAAGACCCCATCTCAGCCTGACAGCCCCTGTTGCGCGTCTTTTTCTGTCCTCAGAGCTAAGTACGACATAAACATGTCTTTCTGCTCCTTATTCATCTGCTCCCTTTCTGACACCTGGTCTCAAGCAGGCACCCCATGGTAGAGGTGATGGCTTGATGGTTCTCTCTTTGGGGTAGAGGGTGGGACTCAGTGTCGTTCCTCCTCAGCTGTGCTCAGGAATCAAGGCCTACTGGTCAAGTCAATAAACCTTTACTGTGACAGGACTCTGCCCTTGACAGGCTCCCAATGTGGTGGGGGCACCTAACTGGTAATCTGATCCTCTCAACACTGGCCTGGTAAGGAAGCTTTAGGACAGCAGGGCTACGCCACTGGGTTGTCAGGAAAGTCATGATGTATTTTTCTGTTATTCTACACAAAAATGTGTCATGACTTTTCCAGTGACCCAATATTTCCCACTGCACCCTCTACTTCACATTATTCTGCACCCACCCCGATTCTCATGCCTGGAAAGGCAGGTCTTACCCCACTTGTCTCCCACCAGGACGGGACAGCCAGCATGAAGTGTGTCGCTGTTCCCTTCGCCACTCCGATGTAGGTTCCACCAAAACAGTGCTGCGTTCTGAAAACAAGCACCCAGCCCAGGAGAGGTCAGCCAGGAATCTCAGTCCCGGGAAGCTCACGACTGAGGACAAATGCATGTGTGTCATGAGACGAGAAAACTCTCCACACAGCCTGGGGCGAGGCATAGATAAAATGACCCCCAAAGGCATTGGCTGCCATTACACATTCACACACGACAGTGACAAAAATGTGTCATGACTTTTCCAATGACCCAATATTTCCCACTGCACCCTCTACTTCACATTATTCTGCACCCACCCCGATTCTCATGCCTGGAAAGGCAGGTCTTACCCCACTTGTCTCCCACCAGGACGGGACAGCCAGCATGAAGTGTGTCGCTGTTCCCTTCGCCACTCCGATGTAGGTTCCACCAAAACAGTGCTGCGTTCTGAAAACAAGCACCCAGCCCAGGAGAGGTCAGCCAGGAATCTCAGTCCCGGGAAGCTCACGACTGAGGACAAATGCATGTGTGTCATGAGACGAGAAAACTCTCCACACAGCCTGGGGCGAGGCATAGATAAAATGACCCCCAAAGGCATTGGCTGCCATTACACATTCACACACGTCAGTGATTGACACCCACTCTACTCCAGGTTCTGGGGACCCAGAGACAAGTCATGTTCAGTTTTGCTTCTGGGGAGCTCGCCAGAGATGTAAAACAGTAGGATGAGACAGTGTGGTGTGCCCTAGGGGAGACGAGTGCTGGTGTGTGCTAGGGGATAGGAAGCACAGGTGTCTTTAAGTTAACAAGAAGAGACCCCCAATGAAACCCACAGCATGGACCAGAATCCTCCTCATAAACTGAACTTCATTCGTTCAGAAGCTCATCCTCCCTTAGGCACTCATTTCTAACAGCCCCAGGAAGTCACTCCCATTTTCCTAGTAAAGAAGTTGAGATTTAGGGGCTTTAATAATGCAACCAAGAAGGAGCAAAGTGAGGACTCTTGGCCAGGAGTTTTGACCCTAAATCTTATAGGTTCTTCACTGTTTCTTTGTCCTATCCGCTTCCTTTAACCTTGGCCCTGAGAAGCGCACAAAGCCTGAGGTGATACAGAGTGTTCCAGAAGGCATGGGCAGCTTCTAAGCCAAGAAGAGAGACCAAACCCCAGGCATTCAGACACACAGCATTCGCTTACTGAGTGCTGGGATGTGCTAGGTCCTGCGTTAAGTGCCTCATCGGCTTCACCTCACTTGTTTATCTCATTTCATTCCTGAATTAGGTAAGGGCTGCCAGGAAGCTTGAACGATCTGGAATTTGGAGGAAACAGTTGTTCTGCACCTGGCTCTGCTCTGGGCCTGTCTTTTCCATAGCTCTCCTTGCAGTGTGTGGTTCCTGCCTGCTAATGGCACTCTGAGCCCCGGAGGAAAAGGCTGATGTTTCCAGGAAAAATCAATGTCTTCAGCTCTCAGTGTTGAGGGCACTAGTGACTGAAGAAAACAGTTGCTATTGCAGATCCAAAATGAGTGAGACTGAGTCCTTGGGGCCAGCAGGTGGAGTGGTGCTTAAGGCGCCAGACACCCACATGATCGACTGCGGTTCAAGTCCCAGACCTGGCAGTTTGTTTTCTTACGCCATGCCCCCGGCCCCCCATCTCTATCTGGTGAGCACACATGCCCTGTAGCAAGTTAAAATAGTAATAATAAATAAATATATTTTTAAATGATGAAAGGTAAAAGAAACTGAGTCCTTATATTTGAGGAGCTCTGTTATGATCAGAGAGACAGACACGGAAGCATGGACTTGTGGTATAAGCATAGAGAAAGTAACAGAGGCACAGGCACACCGTGCTGGTCAAGCAGCCTGTGGGATTATCTTTGATCCTGGGAATCAAGGAAGGCCTTTTTATCCTCGCTCCTAGGAATCAGCTCGCAGGGACAGCCAGCCTGAAGAGAGGGTGTCAGTACTCCTCACATCTGCTTTCTCCTGGGGCTGCGTCTCACTCACCTTAACCACAGGCACGCTAAAGTTGGCGTAGATGAAGGCCGTGGCTCCTCCAGCTTCCACCGAGCTCAGCTACAACGCCAGGAAAGAGCCAGAGTTAGAATATTGCCAAGTTCCTCACTATCATGTGCTCGTTGCCCTGACCTCTGATGTGCTGTTAGCATCCTCCTGTGGTCCCGTTAAGGACACCGCTCAGTGGCACTGATGTTGGCCTGCAGGGGCCCAGGAGGTGCAACAAGCTGGAATTCCTCCTTTCTCTTCCCTTCCAGCTAACATCCGGATTGGGGATAGCAGTAAGTACACTAAACCTTTCTTGAGACTCCCAGAAATAAATACATTTTATGTCATGACCCAAGTTACACACAAACCCCTGAGGTCAAAATTTCATAAAACATGCTTCCCGTATGAGATTCTGTAAGCGTTTCTATTTGATTCTATTCTAGAATGGTGCAGTTTTCATAAATGCTGGTCTATTCACTAAATTAATCTCCCAGTCTACGAATGGATCATGACTTGTGACTTGAAAACCGGTTTAAACTACAATGATCTGTTCTGAAAGATGGGCAACAGAGGAACTAGTTATTGCATGTTTTCCAAATCGCTGGGTCCTCTGCAGGGTTTTATCATTGGTATATGTTTTCTTAGAGCTGAAGACTTCCCCACCCCCTGCCAATTATCAAAAAAATACAGAACAGTCTGAGACATTTTTTTAAATATAGGAAAATATTTTAAAAACAGTGTTACTCATCATCTTACTATCCAGAAAATAAAGGAACACCATCATAGTTAAATGGCAATAGCTGAGCTACTGAGCACTATCGCAAGGCATTATACTACTAAGTCTTCACGTGTACAGCATCTCACTCATTCCTCCCGACAGCTCTATGAGCTAGGATAGTTGTTATCCACGTGTTACAGATGAGGAAACCAAGTCGCAGATGAAGTGCTTTACAAAAGGTACGTAACTCTCCCGTGGCAGAGCCTGGATCTGAGCCGAGCCAACGTTACTCAAATACAAAGTCCCTGATACACTTTTAGACATTTAGGTTACTTCTCAATGTTTACTATGATAAACAATACTACACTGCTTAGCTCATTGAATAAAATTATTTTTTTGCAATTTTGGATTGTTTTCAAAGGAAAGAGTCCTAACAGTATTATTGGATCAAAAGGGAATGCATACATGTCATGATTCTGATCCACACTGCTGAATTATTTTCTCACCAGTCACATGACAGGAGAGTGCCTGGCTTACCAGGACTGGTACTTCTTAGAGGAACTGAACTGACTTGGTGATTCAGAACCTGGTGATGGCAGTGGTGATGTTTAGCATTCCTTGGTTCCCCTGGAGCCCACTGAGAAGGTCGGTGGGAACAACTGGCTCTTTGTGTCCCGGTACCTAACACATGGGGTGATTTTCTTCTAACCCTGCTGTCAGACATTGTAGATACAAGTGAAGTATACCAGGGCCACTTGGACTTACCTGCATTTCTTCGTCTGCGGTTTCACAATATGATGGAAGGAATCATGCACCCAATGAGTTATTGATAAAAAGAAAACCTTACTCTGTCAGAAGTGATGCTCATGAACAGAGTATGGATGGCGAAGACAATGGGGATGAGAGAGCAGGTCATTTCTCTGTATGGCTTCCGCCGTGTTACACTGAGCAGAAAATCACTAACCTGATTTCAACACAATCCTCTGTACTTCTGAAAGATTATACTATTACTGTAATTATTATTACTATAATTACTACAATATTACCTTCATATCCCCACAGACCTTAACCCTTGTCTTTAGAAATGTGTATGCTAGTCTGAGGGCTTCCTCACAGGGTGTGGTGAGGATCTGATAAAATAATATAGGGGGATATGATGCTGAAAAGCTTAATACAAAATGTTTCTATCATTGTATCTCACAAAGCGAGGAAAGGAAAGGCCCTCTGGAAGGGGAGTCAGTGCCCGAAAATGAGCTCGAATATTGATGCAATTGGTGCTGGGGTCACATAGGAAATGGCTGAATCAGGATTAGGCAGACTGACTCCAAGCCCCAAGTGCATTCCATTCCACTGTGTCTCAAATGCTTAAACTGCAAAAGCGTACCCGTGTGTGTGAACACACACATACACTCATGTGCACACACACTTGCCTTTATCACTTTAAAATTGCTGGGCTCTTCTTTCCATGCTATCATCACAACAGTAACTGGGCCTCCATAACCGGAAAAGCAGGGAAGATATTAGGGGGATAAAGAGCAGAAATGTCTTGTGCCTCGAGGTGTCCCATTCTTTGATTGATAGCTATTTTCTTCACTGCCTGTGACCTCACAAGGCAGCTTGAGTGAGTGCAGTCATATTCCCTGCCTGCTCAGAACGACCAGAGTGACTACTAAGAGATCAGGCCATTGCAAATGGCAGCCTCTGAGGTCTGCAGGAGACACAGAACTGAGCCACAGGAGAAACACATGGGGACTGCCAGAGTTAAAGACTACATGGGACGCCAGCCTCTGCTTGTCCTTTCTTGGTTGTACTGGGAAGACCAGATACAGCCCCAAGAGAAGAGGAAATGACAGAGGAAGGGGAGTGTCTGCTGTGCTTATGACCTCCAAACCAGGATTTCATCTGTGGTCGTCTAGAGCCACTACATTTAGCACGTTTATCCCTTCGTTAACAGTTAACAGCGCAGTACCATATCTCTTCGAATAAGCAATCCTTTCTAATACTCTTCCAAATGACAGATGGTCGGAACTGTGCTCTGAAGGGAAGGGCGTACATGCACCAATAAAGTCTGGAAACGAATCCTGTAGCATCAGGCTGGGAATTAGGACGGGAGCCCAATTCGTTTATTTTTTAAAGAAAAACAAATTAATTCAGCAAAATTCTAAAAATTTTACTGAAGGCTATGGGGAGAGAAGAGGATGTTCACTACATATCAGAGGCAAGTCTCTGTTCTTCCTGCTTTCAACCCGGGCTGTCTCATTACTCTTCTTGCTCCCTCCTCACAGCTCTACCTCATCTATGGGTCCTTGCTTTTCCACCAACTATCTGTGGGACTGCAAGGAGAAGGACTCCCATATCCCCTTCCTGTGTGGCTCACTACGATCTCTTGGCCTCAACGTATCCCCACTTGCCATTCTAATCCACTGCCTTACTCGGATCTATCCACGTAAGCAATTTGAGGGTAGGAACTCTGTCTTGCACTTTTGATCTCTCCTGTGGTACCCAACAAAATTACTGTCTGAAATTCATGAAGCTCCTGGAGAGTTCTGAGCTCAGTACCAGATAAAATTGATTTATAAAACTGCTTTGAAACCCAGGGAATAAAATAGAGATGTAAATAATTGTCAACCATTAAGAAAGAAGCCATGGTCCCTCCAGAGCAAGACTCACATAGATCATAAATGTTGCAACTCGATTCCCAGACTTCATCCGGTAGAGGGGGCTGCTTGGTGACTAAGACAAAAACAGAACACATCAGTATTTATGAGCTGGCACCATAGTGACAGCCAGGATTCCATCCTGAACCTAGGGAGAGGTAAAAGGGGTCCTCGAGCATGGAACAAAGCTGTGAGCTGCAGTCGGTGGAGAAAGAGTGAAAAAGAAAGGACTGTATTTTATTCATGAAGTTTTCCAGGCACTATCAGGAATCAGTTGACTCTAGGGCCAGCCCCGTAGTACAGAGGTTAAGCCCTGTGCATAGGAAGCTGGATCCCACATGGCTAATCACTGTTCAAATCCTAGCCCTGGTTATTTGAAAAAAACGTGCTAGGTACATTGCTTATGTGCCCAAGGTCCTGATAGGATGGAAAAATGGAGGAAAGGGATTTCCTCATCACCCCACTGAGGGGTGCTTTATCTATCTTTCTCCCTCTCTTTCTTTCTAGAAAGCACACTCAATCTCTGGCCATTAAACAAATGAGTTGGGGCTAGCTCCATGGCATGATAGTTAAAGCAGCTGGATCCTACATGGCCAATCCTGTGGTTTGAGTCTCAGACCTGGCGATTTGAGAAACATGCTGGGCATTTGTGACCAGGATCCAAACAGGATGGAGAAATGGAGAAGGGACTGCAGTGTAGCCATTCCCCATGGAGGATGCTTTATCCTTCTCCCTCCCTGTCCCTCTGGTAAGCGCTCATATCTCTGGCAAAATTAGAAGGAAAAAATCAGTTGGTATGGGTTTCTTTCTGGACTCTCTGTTCTGCTTAATTGACCTAGTTATGCTAGTGTGTATGCCTATCTATACACTAGTGCTGCATTGTCTTAATAATGTAGGTATATAGTAAGTTCTGAAATCAGGTAGTAAGTGCCCTCCAATTTTGTTCTTTTTGAAAAACTTTGTGCGCCTTAAGTCCTATGCATTTCCATATATATTTTAGGATCAGCTTGTTAATACCACAAAAGTGAATCTAGAATTTTGGTTTAGTTGGAGTTGAAGCTATGGATTAACTTTGGGGAGGTCTTTTTTTT